TTTAGTATGTAGTTCCTGGCCATTCGATGAAAATTGGAATATTTAGTTTTGAGATATTGGCGGAAAAGTTGGCCGTTATTGTCATATTTTAAATTAGCTTTGATAATCTAATGTGTCAATTAATTCCAGCGGTTCCCACCCCTGGGCCTTTGCAGCTTTTCCTAATCACGGGGGTAGGGCTATTGCCGATGTTTTTTAGCCCTGGGGTGAGGATTTTGACGTTTTCCATCTTGGAGGATTTGGCAGATTTGCTGGAAAACTGATATTTAATTTGATTGTAAATGGCTTGTGGACATAGCCATTTCCTTCCCAGAAATGGCTAATACCTCCGGGGGGATGGGCACTGCTGGAATTGACTGATACGTAATGCACCCTTCCTGAAAGTACGTCACTTTGGCTATAGAGCCTCGTTTTCGTGTATCTGACATCAGTTAAAGGCCGCGTCTCAATCACGAAAACGAGGCTCTATAGCCAAGGTGACGTACTTTCCGGAAACGTGTATTAACAATCGCCATTTTGATTGGTTGTTATTTTTGTGCATCCCAATCACTGTGCACTTTTTGTTGACTTCAGTAACAGCTCTATTTCAAGCATCGAGCCTGACACGCAAGCTACATTCAAAGGGCCTATTTGGCAACTTCTATTGTGGTTACCCAGCCTGAGGCGAAAGTAATAAATTATAAAATGTTATAAATGTTCTGTGAAGTGCACATATTTTTCCTGCAGTTAGGGACCAGTCCTTATTTATGGAATGGGAAGGGAGGGGGGGGCAAAAAGTGGGGCCATGAGTATAAATAATTGACTAGAAGAGGGGGGGGGGCATTAAATTTTTCTGAGAAAATCAGTTGAAGGGTCAAAATGTGGAGTTGCAATAAATTTGAATAAATTTGTTTAAGCCTGGTTTCCAGTTTTCTCAAAGTTGGTTTAAGCTAGATAAATCCAATAAATGATATATCAACCTCGTACCCAGGGCTTCTGCGCTTATTCACTGCTCTCAGAAGAGAGAGCAATAAGCGCAGAAGCCCTGCGCAGAAGACCTTATTTTAATTAATCCCAGCGACCAAACGCTCAACAGAGCGTCTTGTTTGTCTAGGATTGTATGTATTTTGTTAATTTTATAACCGTTTATATGGTATAGTATAGCATAGTATAGCGTAGTATTTTAATGTATGGCGGGACTTAATTTGGGACTTTATTAGTCCTGTTGCCTGTAGGCATGTCCCGATTGTGCTTGGCAACTTTTGAGCAACGTTGTACGTTTGGAGCAACTTTTTTCGGTTCGAGAAACTTCAAGCAACTTTTTCCTTTTTGAGCAATTTTTGAGCAACCTTTCACTAGAGTTCAAACTTTACAGTATGAAATGTTTACATGTGATAGACAACTTCATTTTCTTGCAAAGCGGAAAAGTCAAATACGAGCGCGAAAGGCTGCTGGGAATCGCTTTGAAAATTCATTAATTTGTTTGCGATACCCAACAGCCTTTCGCGCCCGTATTCGACTTTTCCGCTTTGCTCGTGGACAACCTTGATTGAAATAGCTGTATACAAGGAATAGAAAATGAGTATTAGGAAGAAACGAAGTATTTGTGTTGACATATGTTGATAGAATAATTTTGCCTAGCGAAAACTACTCAGCTTCTGCGTAATAGCGGTTTTCTGAGAAGCCAGATCTCTCGCTTTAGTCGTCTAACCCACTAATCCACCACTCGGGGTTAGAGCGGGTTAGGGGCGGGAAGGAAGATTTAGTTTACATACGAGTACCCTATTTACAGTATATAATTGAAGAAGTTTGGGTTTTAGTCAAACAGCCTATTGACTGTCAGCATTCACGGATTCAAGGCATTTAGATCTGTTCTCAAAACATAAAAAGATGAATTTCGAAAATTTTATCATGGTTTCATTATCAGTTGATTTCATTATCTCTACTGGTAAACTGTTTTCATTTAGAACTGCTTTATTGGTGGGATCACATTTCAAGTGATTTAATTAATTTAAAAAGTTTTCATGAAGACTACTGTGGGCTTAAGCCTATAAGAATTCACAGGAAGTTAGGAAGTGATGTTCTGTCGAAACTTCTCCTGACTGGCAGACCTTGCATACTCGGTCTTCTCATGGAATAAACAAAAGATGGACATTTATTCCCCCCCCCCCTGCATGGCACCCAATATTTCACAAAGTGTCTGCCAGTGATTATATTATATATATATTATATAAAGCACAACTAAATACAATCATATAGTTAATAGAAAATACACATTGCTAGCAAGATTGGTAAACTTCAAGTGGTTTCCTAACCAAACTTCAGTTGATGTTGAAAACTTGAAATGTACCTGAAAGTACACAATTTGTTGATCAACATGATCTTACGGTTGAAGTCTGAGAAATCTTACGGTTGAAGTCTGAGATTTCCATTGGGCAATTGCTTCATTATACAGAACAAAATGTTCACTCACTGTGAAAGTGCACAAATTTCCATAAAGGACATAAAGGTGAACAAAAACATAATTAACAATACCTTTTGTCCAACTTCCAGACTATTAATTATGATGGCATGATGCAAATATTAATACAATGTAAAATCATATTGGAAAGCACACAAATTCACAGTCTTTCCTCACTTGTCTATTTCAATTAAATCCTTTCTTCAGTTGCGTTATGAAAGAAAATCTTCTGGGACTGCCACAGCTGTTATATGGTACGATGGTTATTTAAAAATTCTTAAATCTTATTAGCCCTCTTTGCAAGTGACCCTTTAATTAATTTAAATTATACAGGATTTGCGTCGACAATTCGCAGAAAATTTTCCCACTCTTCGTTGCGGTCCCAGAAAATAAAATATTTTTTCCACCCCTGCTCTGCACGGACATTATGGCCAACCGTTTTGTCTCATCAATTTGAATATTTCTTCCTTTATTGTTGCAAATCTTTTTAACAGAATCTGTAATCTTTAACACAGGCATGAAAACAAAGATTCCGCCTGCTAGATAATGGCAGAATCCGACTTCGTGCCGATCCATATAATAACAATGTAATCTCGCCAATTATTAAAAACAACCGCGTCTATTGTATATCTATGGCTCACTTTTGTTCATTTTTCTCCACTCTACAGACTCTGGGAGCGACTGACACTAACTTACTTTAGTCCTTACCAAAAATTGGGATACTGCTATTAGTCTATAGTACACAATGATGCTTGGTCGATAAGAGTGTAACCTGTTCATATTTTTTCATGTGTTAACAGAAATATTTTATATTACGGTATATTTATTAACAAATATAAAACATTTTCCGTGTTGATATTTAACAATTATTCGCCGAAGGCGAGGTGATTATCGGGGAATATTCGCCGAGACGAAGTCGAGGTGAATATTCCCCGATAATCACCGAGCCAACGAGTGAGATATCGTGTTCAACACGAGAAATAAATCTGGTATTTCCAAGAACCCGTGTATTTTTCTGTTTATTATATAAACAAAATTCAGTGAAAACCAATAAAACGTCCGTGGCAATGCGTTTTACAACAAATGATATTTTCACACGTAAAAATATCGTATTTTTTACGTGTGTTTAAATACGATTTTTCTCAGTGGCCAAAAACTCTATATAACACTTATGTTTATATAATAAATACTGTAACTGAGTAAGTTGTCGTTGATATTGTGTAATTTTGTTAACCATTATGAATATGCATTATGGTTTTAGACGAAGGGTAGAGTACTGTACAGGTGACTTCATGAATTTGCATGTGGGTTGTTGCATATCGCTTTAAGCCCCGGTCAAACAAGGATGAGAGTTCAAATTTTTTCCCTATGCATACAGTAATATTCACTCAACTCTCATGCAACTCTTGTACTGGTCTGACTGGGAGATTAGAATTGACAAAACTCTGATGCAATCTCTGGCTTCCCAATTCTCATCAACTCTTATTGTTATATAGTTAGTGTCAAAGTTCAATTTTTCTGTTTGCCGATTGGTCAAAACCGTATCACGTGCTGGTCCACAAAACGTCATGTTCGGCAACCAGTCCGGAATCAAACATTTTTTGACAGGTCAATAATAAAATGGGTGCAATACGCATGCGTGTCAACCAAGGGTGGGTTGACTACAAAATTTTTGTAGTTCGCTATAACTACAGCTACTTCAAAAATATGTAGTCAGCTACAACTACTGCTACTTTTGAACAAAGGTAGTTCGCTACTGACTACAGCTACTGCTTAAAAAATGTAGCGAACTATTTCGCTATTTCGCTACTCTATATTTTTTAGTTTTACGGTATTTGGAGCATCCACTAGCTGAGGCTGTAATATAACCTATAACAAATCGACTTACGAGTAGCAACAGTAAACAAAAAAAGTCAAAGCAACATTTTGTAAGCACTACAGTGTTCAGGAGTGCCACATTTCATTGCGCTAAAATATTCTTTACTGTATAAAATAATCTTTTAAGCAAACCGTGTCTTAATATCATTCTATTCTATGAACGATTGCTAACAATTTTAAAAAGTAGCGAATAGCGATTTGCTGTTTAAAACGTAGTCAACTATGTGGCTGCCTTTAGGGAAAATGTAGTTCGCTATAACTACAACTACTGTTTTAAAAAAGTAGTCAAAAACTACTGGCTACTTGAAAATTGTAGTTCGCTACAGTAGCGAACTACAACTACTTCGCTACTACCTACCCTTGGTGTCAACCATGAAGTTCCAAAGTTCATTTTTAAAACTTTTTACTATTAAAACATTTACGGCGTTCCACTTATCCAGTTTTGGTTTCAAATTAAGTTCACTCCAATAACCGGTGAATCATACTTTGACACTTATATACTATATAACAAAACACTTATTTACTGAGACCTTGGGAAAGCAGTGTGTTTTGTGGCCCCTCGACCGCCGAACAACGGCGGTCTCGGGTCCACAAAACACACTGTTTCCCTCGGTCTCAGTAAATAAGTGATAATTATTGTTTGACAAGGGCTTTACTAATAAAAATGTACAGGTATCTAAATTTTTACCTGTTGTCATTTTACCACTAATATATTCTGGATCTCTCTTCATATCAGCTATAGCAGCCAAAGGTATTCCCCAATTTGCAACTAAAACATATTATTATCAATATATTATTATCATCACTCATGATAGTGTTATACAGAAATAGATCACATATAATTTATTAACTCATAGAGTGGCAATTCGCTCCAATGTGCCTCCATTACTTTATTATAAATATTTTACTTTATACAGTATAATACCTTATTGAATTCTGATCATTTAATTGGCTGTTTATGGTCATGTGATATTGAATAGAAAATTCCATTTCCCAAGAGTGCAATGGAATACGTTCCATTGCACTCTTGCAAGTGCAATTGTACTAATAATATATGTTTTATTCCATTGCACTCTTTGTGTTTTCGATAAATCGCATCCGTCAAAATGCTTCTCATACGGTGATCGCAGTTTATTTTAACCCGATATTCGAAACTCAGTAAATGGAATTTAATGCAAATACGACTCGTCAAAATGGCGGGAGCTTACAGTAAACCTTTTAATATTAGTCTATTTTGGTATTATATAAAACAAATGAATGTTTTTATGAGTGCAATGGTAAGAATATTTTCATTCGGTGAAAGATGGAATGTTCCACTCAACTCGGCTGTCGCCTTGTTGAATGAAACATTCCATCTTTCACTTCATGAAAATATTCTTACCATTGCACTCACAAACATTCATTATTTGTATACTGTCTAATGCTGGCCAGACAACTTTAGTTTACTTTACTCTTCAAGGAGAGAGGACTGGATGTTCAATGGACTAATCAGACTGTAGACCTGCCAATCCATCTGTCTAGTTAATCCATTAAGTTGCATTGCACCTCACATGTGTCTATATTATATACTTTAATTATTTTTCTCTGTCTAATGGCAGATGATTTGTCATTTGTCTTGGGCGGTTTACCAGTTTTTTTTGGTTTCATTTTCAAACCTTTTTTTCAGTTTAGTTTTTACAAAAAATAGAAAAGCGTCATGATTACATAAATAGTTGACTGTCATTGCCCAAAACTTGATCTTAATTCTCAAAACATAATACTAATTAAACTCAAAACTCTTTTTCCGTAAAGTTGTATAAGTTTTCAAATGTGTTCTTGACCCTTTTATTTAAAAATTACTGAAGTCATTTTAGGTTCCCTTTACACAATTTTGCATTTTGTTGTGTACTGTTCGTTTGTTAATGTGAAAAAGTACCACAATTCCTCCTCATTCAGTTGAAGCAAAAAATAAAGGGAAAAAAGTTTTTTGGTTTAGAATCAGGCAGTTTTTGGGTTTTGATTTTAAGCAAAAACCACTCAAGCCTAGTCAAGGGGAGAGTGTTGCCACTTAAAGAGTCATTGTCAACCACAATGCATTTGTTTACAACTTACCTTCGGAAGCAGGGATGGATCCAGCATGATCTGGTAGGAGGGGGGTGTGCTCTGGTGCCGACTGCCGAGTTGTGTCGGTCACATGTGCCGCCCGCCCATCAACTACTGTATTTGAATTGTAATTGTTGTTCACAGTTCACTTGTCATCATGTTATTACTCAAATTACTGTATCTCATTTTGTCTTTTTTGCTTTATCATAAAAAATAGCACCCACCGCAACCCC